CCCCACCCCACCCCACAACATCTCTCACTGAAATTGCCAAGCACGCGAGGGACAGACAGCCCCTTTGTGACTCGGCCGGGGCAGATGCAGGGCTGTAGGTGAAATGAATGGGTTAAGGAAGAGAGCTGCGTGGCTTCAGGGGGAGGAAGACACCACAAACTATCAATCAGCTGCTGAGTTTGGAAACAACTTTTCCCCCCCTGAAAGTCACGAGTTCAGCTGGGAAACGTGGATGAGAAGGGTCTTTTCTGCCCGTTTTAGACATGCCCCGCGGTCATTCAGGAGTTCATTAGTGTTCAAACAGTAACACTTTTCATTATAAAAGCCTGCGGCAGACTGATAATAATATTAAACTGTAAACACAACAGCGAACAACTCCTGTAACTCACCTTGAAGTGGGGGAAAAAGCGGAGAGTGTCTTCCCAGAAGTATCCCCACCTCGCTGAAATGTGTTTTCTCGTCTCAAAAGAAAAAAAACGAGCTCACATCTCGTCCCGTGGGGAAGTTGTACAGGAAGGCACTATTCCGTTAAAACGCCGGGGTCACTTCTGTGGCTGAAAAAAGTCGCTGGCAGAGGCGGCGCGGTGAAAACTCAACAAAAAACAGTCTTGTTTCGCGCTCTCTCTCCGGTCGGAAATATCAAGACTTTTCTCCACGCCCAGGTGCCGAGTCTTGAGTCACATGGTAAATTTCCAGGTATGCGCGCGCGCGCGTGGCGTCAGTTTTTGCTTCGGCGGTGGAGCGGCGGAAGCAGCACACCTGTGGGATGTTCGCCTCGAACCCTCTCTCCTCTCTCTCTCTCTCTGCGTGTGTAAAACACGAAGACTTGGTGGCGGCGGTGGGGAGGGAGAAGAGGAGAGGGGAGGAAATCGTTTCTCTCGCTCTCTTTCTCCTCCTCCTCCTCTTCCTCAGCCGCTCATTCAAAGAGAAGCCGTCGCCTGGAGAAAACAAGCAGAGACAAGGAGGAGTCGGTCAGTCGCTTTTTTTGTTCGCCGACGCGCAGAAAATTCTTGCCGCGCGCGGTGGGAGCGGTACGAGGCGGAGGTGCGGAGGCAGGCAGCCCCGCTCCGTGGCTGCCAAAAAGTCTGGTCCGCTCCTCGAGGGGGCGTTTTCAGCTTACTCCCAACCAAAACAGCCTCCTCTCTTCATAATCAAAACTAAATGGCTTTTATTTAACCTTTCCGTCTCTCTACAGGCTAAATAGTTTATTATCATTTTATTAAACGCAGCTTGAACAGTTTATGAAGTCTCGTGACAAATAACGTTTTTCAGTCACGAGCTCAAACTATTTGAATAAATCAGAGTTGATCTATGATAGCTCTTATAACAGTATCGTTCACTGCTATACTCAGACTTCTTCAATATAACACATTTCTTACATACTTCCCAACCTGCGTGCAGTTCATGGGGTATGGTTAATAAACATCTTACCTGTTGTAGATAACTCTTTGCACAGCATTAATTTGGGGAAACAAATATTATTAATGAGAGATTGAGCTCTAAAATGAGCCAAGACCAAAGTAGATTGCTGCTGGCATAAAACAACTCAGATTGCTTAGTGCTTTATGTGAATAATATTTTCTTAACTCTTACACTCCCATCATTTTAGTGGATGTATTCCTTTTAAAGGGCTCGACACACGGGAGGCGACGTCGCTCGCTCTCCATTCATTTCCTATGGAGCCTGTGCGGTGAGGCAACAGTCGCTCGCCCTCCTCCAGCTAAGCGACCGGCGAAAATAGTGCATGTGAAATTTTGCACTCGTACATGTAGAC